CCCGCCCCTTCCTCCCGCAAGCATGGTGGTGCTGAAGGGCATCCCAGCGCTGCTGTCCCCAGAGCTGCTGTACGCCCTTGCTCGGATGGGGCACGGAGACACAATCGGTGAGTCGGCAGGGGACACAGCCTGGGGATCGGGAACCCCCACCCTCAGGGCAGAAGTAGGAGGCTCGCCAGGGTGGGGGTGGGGGCTCCCCCGGGAGTCCTGGACCCAGCTGTTTCCGTGCGGAAGAGGGGTCAGGTGAGGGCATCGAGTAGGACTCCACCCCCACCCACGTGGCTGCGGCTGGCCCGGGCCCCAGCCCAGGCTTTGGTTGGCCCCAGGCGGTCACGAGGACAGGTGTCCCTTGACCCGGCTGGGCTCCGTTGGGGGAGGTGCCTGACGGCCTTGGTTCCCTCAGGCCCAGTGTGCTGCTCTTTCTCGAGACCCCTCCCCAGATGGCCCCCAAGCAGTCACGTCCCCCTGTGCCTGAGGCTGCTTCCCTTTAACTGGGGCCGTGGGCTGGATTCAGGGTGAAGGCTGCGGGTCCCAAGCTCCGCCTTAGTCCTGGTAACAACTGCACAGTTTCTCCTACGCCTGGTAACTCCCTCTCCTCCCAGGCCTTGGGTTTCCCACCCCTCCCCCTCTCCCTGTAGGGAGCGGGTGAGGCCAGTGGGCGTGGCCTGGCATGTGCCATCGGTTACCCCACTGTCCGCGTCCACCCATGCGGAGCCGGGATGTCTAACGCAGCTGGCTCTTCAGTTCTTGCAGACGTGAACTTCCCCACCTCCTCCATCTGCAAGTGTGGCCCAGAGGAGATCCGCGCAGATGGTGAGCGTGCCACCTCCTGCAAGGCGGGGTTAGGGCGGGTGGGCAGTGGTCCTGGCTCCAGCTCCCCAGGTGCTACAGCTCTGCCCCCACCTCCACCGTTCCCCAAGCACCCACCAGTGACCCATGTGCCAGGGCCCTCAAGATGTTCCCCGCAGCCCCCAGCCCCCAGAGGTGACCTGGGCCTCCTGCTCCATTTCAGATACCACTTGGTGACTTCTTGAAAATGGGAAAATAGAAGCTAAGCACCTTGCTGGCTGACTGAGCAATGGTTTCCCCCTCCTCCCCCAGGTCAGGTCAGGTGTTCAGCCTTTACCCTGACATAAAAGTCCCAATTCTCATACCTGGCCTCACAGGCTCCAGTTGTCCACATGTTCAAAGACCCTCTGACCCTCACCAGTGGATGGGAGGTGAGGCTGGGAGGGACCTTGAGCCAGGTCCCAGAGGTGGTGGTAGGAGCAGAGTTAGCAGTACTGAGAGTAAGGGGGCCATGAGCTGAGGACCCCATCCTGACCCAGTGGCTTTGGCTACCACTTCCCACTCAGGGAGCTAAACTGATGTGCCTTAGATCCTGGGTCAGGTGACTCCGGATGCTCTCCTTCCCAAGGAAGGTGGGACAGGGTGGGCCATGGGAAAAGCCAGAATGATGGAACATAAGGAGTGTTTAAGTAAATCACAGCACAGCAACCAAAAGAGACACACACTGTGCTCATTAGTGGAGAGCAAGAAAGTAGGACTCAGAGTCAAACAGTCAGAAAAGTCTCATCATGTAGAAATGCAAAGAAAAAGGGCAGAAGAAGATGAACTTCGATGGTAGCGGGGTTTCCTTTATATGTGGTAAGATTACAGCCAGTTCTTTCTTTTCATAGGCTTCTGTGTTTCCCGGTTTTGTACAATGAGCATGTGTTACTTGAACAATCAGAAACCCACTTTATGGGAGAGCAAGGGCCTGGGAGTCAAGTGAGACAGGTTTAGGGCCACATTGGGCAAGAGAGGCCTCTTTCCAGACTCCAGTGTCCTTGTCATAGGCTAAAGGTGGCAACTCCGGGCCTCTAAGGAGGTAGCCAGGCACCCCTCCTGGTGGATAGGTGTTTTGAGGTTACAGCCAACAACCTGCATGGTGCAGAGTAAAGGGGATGGTCAGAGCTGGCCCAGTTCCAGAACAATGACAGGGGCAGTGGCCAAGGCGAGGAGACATCAGTGTGACCTTGATGGGTGTCAGCAGGTGGGCAGCAGTTGCCTGTGGTCCCTCTGTTCTAAGCCCAAGTCTGTCCCTGCTGGTTTAGTGAGGCCCAGTGTGAAAGATTTGTCCAGACGAGGCCACCAGGTGGCGCTGTGGGCAGCTGGGTTGGGAGGGTGGGAGTCTGAGGCCAGCACTCTCTACCCTCAGGCCTGAGCATCCCGCAGCTCCTGAAGGCCATGCTGAAACTGCTGCCACTGGACACCTATGTGGAGAGCCCGGTGAGGGCCCCTTTTCCAGACCTCAGAGGACCTACTTGCCATGGTGGGGGCATGTGTCCCCAAAGGATTCTCACCCCGATCAGAGGAGCCCTAACCATCACCCAACAAAGGGGGCCTGGAAGTACCTAGAGAAGCTGGATGGATGGGCCCCTGAGCTGACCCCTCTATCCCCAGGCTGCTGTGATGGAGCTGGTGTCCAGCGACAGGGAAAGGGGCCTCCAGACCCCGGTGTGGTGGAGCTACCAGTCCATCCTCTTGGAGGCTGGCTGCTCGGTAAGCTTGCTGCCCCCACTGGGAATGGGGTTGGGACCCTCTGCACCTCTTTGGAGGCCTGGGAGGAAGGGAAGACGTGCTCCAAACTCTGCCCCACGGTTGTGTGAGCGCCTACTCACCCACAGCAGAAGAGTGACCCTGGGGGTGTGGCTTCCCCCTGCCCCCAGCCTCTTACATGCTCCCAGGATCTTCACCTGTCTACCCGGGAGCCTTCACCAACCTCAGCCTCTCCAAGTGGAGCTGAGGCAAGTAGGATACCCCAGGCCCCCATCTTGTAGTCAGACGCCTGGTCTGATTCTGTGTGTCATTTCCCACCCCATCCTACCCAGCAAGGGGTCAGGCCTGTCCTCCCAGGACCACCCACACAGGCAGGTCTTGGGCAGGACCTACCTGAAGAGAGGACACCTGGTCTCCCATCCTGGACAGTGGCTCGCCTACCCCACCCCCTGGGGCAGATCAGAGGGGCTCAGGGGCCCCGGGCAGGCAGCCACCAAGCACAGCAGGCATCTCACCCACCACAGCCTGCCTGTCTTTCTCCCCCGAGTCCCTGGTCCTTACAGGTAGGAGGCCGAGTATCCTTGGAACCCCGGCCTGGAGAACTAGAGAAATGAAGCTCAGAGAGACCATGCCCCTTGATGCCCCTGTTGGGCCCATGAGGGTTTCTGGGCAACCACACTGGTTTTGTCTTCCAGAGCCCCCTAGCGAAGATAGAGAGGTTTGAGTTTTATGAGCAGGCCAAGAAGGCTTTTGCTGTTGTAGCAACTGGGTAAGTTCTCGCTGGATCCACTGGGTCCTGATGGGTTGGCTGGGTCCAACTGGGTCTGGGCTGGGTGTGAGGCCCTCCCCCTCCCCACTCCAGAGCTCCCCCCACCCTCTGCTCAGCCCCTGCCCCACTGAGAGAGATGGGCCCCAGGGAATAGGGGAGCTGAGCTGTCCAGCTGGTGGTGCAGAGCAGGGGTCTGGGCACTCTGGCCTGGCTCAGTGCTCAGCTCAGCTCCTTATGCAGGGAGACGGCCCTCTACGGAAACCTCATCCTCAAGAAGGGAGTGCTGGCCCCTGAAGACCTGTTCTAGGCTGGTGAAGAGTCAGGACCCCTAAATCCAACAACCCCACCAGCAGGCCCTGCCCAGCCTAGCAGCACCCAGACCTCACCCAGCCAGGGCTTGGGCACAGGCAGGTCCTT